GCTAGTAACCAACAGATCTGTCTCTGGTCTCTCTTTCTCCATGGTCTCTCTCTCCCTAGTTGCACTCTCCCTAGTTTTTCTGTCTGGTCTCTCTCTCTCTCTCACTCTCTGCTGGTCTGTCTCTCTGCTCTGTCCCTGGTTTCTCCCTGGTCTCTCTCTCTCTCTCTGGTCTCTGTAGTTTTCTGTCTCTGAGGACGTAGGCGGTTTAAGTGAACACTGAGGTTTATGGGGAAATCTACAGTCCGTGTGGATTCAGGCTGCAGTACCGCGAGTAGCCTCTAGAGCAAACAAAGGTTCGTTCACATCCACATCTTCATCTGTTCCCTCATCCCGTCTGTCACAGAGGTCAGAGGTGGTCTCCAGCTGAGGGCTCGCTCTGATCTCACTCTGATCTCTGTGACGAGTCAAGGAGCTTACGTAAGACATTTACAAACACGATTGAGCAACGTTTTGCCGGATAGCACTGTTCATTTTTGACATAGCTCTAATGTTTTTATGAAAAATGCTAAATTTTTCTGTTTATGGGGGTGGACTGACCCAGTGTGACATCACCATAGCTTTAGCTGCAGCACATTTCCTACTGCTACTACTACTATGACTTAGGGGTGGGCAATACGGGCAAAATAAATATCTTGATATGTTTTCCCAACTCCCGATAACGATATTGTCAAGATATCTTTGAAATCAATCATTTTTACACAAAATGATCTGCAATGTTTTGCTTGCCAGGGCATCTATAGATACAGACAGTGTAGATCAAATTAGCAGCTTTTTATTTGTAAAGTGCTTCACACATCTTTGCAAAACATGCACAAACGTATAGTACATTAACATCAAAAATCTAATTCGAGAAACACGGGGAGAACACATCCAAAAAGGCTTGTTCAATATTTACTGCACAAATATTTACTGTACAAATAAAGCAGTGACTGGCTTTTTAGGCACGCATTTGACGAATGGGCCTCTTGCTTGCTGTAATATGTACTACGACTACTACTGATACTACTGCAACTACTACTACTACTACTATTACTACTACAACGACTACTACTGCTACTTTTTTTTTTTTTATCCTAGCCCGGAGTCATCGAGTGAGAAAAAAGGTTGACTCTGGCCTGGTCTTATTGCCAGAGAATCCCGCCTCGCTTCCCTGTACAGGTGGACTTACAGGTGCGAGCTCCTGGGGATGTGACCCAGAGGGACAGGAGCGACCCGGGGGAGAGGGCCCGGGTATTGCAGGACTGGGCCTCTTTACAAGTGGCCTCACCTGGTAAAGAAATCTCACTGAGCTTCTTTGAATGGGCTTAGGGATGTGCCTACAGTGCCTCAAGAACTGTAACTCTGTCAGCCCAGAGCAAGTCTGTCCTGTACATGTGTGTGGCTCCTACAGCCAGAGCCCCGTCTGCCATCAGGTCGTGATCCCAGACGGTCGGGGTACAGCCTGATGCCCTTGGTGCACCACGTGGAGGTGGGGTTGATTTTGCACTGCCACTGCTGCTACTACTACTACTACTACTACTGCCTTTTTTCTATTCTATTCTTTGACTACTGTGTTCTGTGTGCTCTTACTACTCAGCCCAAAGCATCAAAACTGACTCAAAGGTTTCTTTCTGAGGAATGCAAAGGAAAAAGTGTTTTCAAATAGGATCAAGACTCTTTTCAGTTTATCGCCAACCTTTAGCAGGTTGGCAATAAACACAAAAGTAACATACCCAGCTTTAAAACACTGGAATTGTCCAGAGCTGGAGCAGTTTCAGAACAATTTGGATGCTGCCACATAGTACCACATAGTACCACAGGCATAGTACCAATAGACTGTGAGTAGTTGTACCTCCTGTTTGAGTGGAGACACGAGAGCAGCAACAGTGCCCTCTAGTGACACCCGGTGGAACTGAAACTCAATGCCAACAAATTTGGGGGGATCAGACAAAAAAAAAAGATGATTTTGAAACCTTTAGTAGTTCTCTTCTAATATAAAATGGTATTAAAACATTATTCCTAAATCGATACAAAACCTGCAGGTCTTTGAGGGAGAAGAACAGACATCAGCTCATGGTCTGAAAGAAATCCATATGAATAAGACACTTATATTACTCTCCTCAGTCTTTGGTGCCTCACCCTCCTTTCTCTACTGAGCTCCTTCTCCACCTGGGCCCTCACCCTTTGGCTCCTCAAGCCTCAGTCCCTCACTCTCGTCTCACACGCTCTCTCTCAGATGAGTTCCTTCTCCACCCACACCCTCACCCTCCTCTCCTCTCTCTCAGCAGAGCCTGTTCTCCACCCGAACCCTCACCCTCTCTCTCTCTCTCAGATGAGTTCCTTCTCCACCCGCACTCTCACCCTCCTCTCCTTTCTCCTCCTCTTCTTTCTCTCTGTTTCACCCACTCTCCTGTCTCTCTCCCTCAGATGAGCTCCTTCTCCACCCGTGCCCTCACCCTCCTCTCCTCGGTCTTCGGGGCCTGCGGTCTCCTCCTGGTCGGGGTGGCGGTGTCCACAGATTACTGGCTGCTGATGGAGGAGGGCATCGTGCTGCAGCAGAACCAGAGCACGGAGGTGAAGATGGCTCTGCACTGCGGCCTCTGGAGGGTCTGCTTTGTGGCCGGTGAGTCTGGGTCTGTACCAGGGTCTGTACCAGGGTCTGTACCAGGGTCTGTACCAGGGTCTGTACCAGGATCTGTACCAGGGTCTGTACCAGGATCTGTACCAGGGTCTGTTCCAGGGTCTGTACCAGGATCTGTATTAGGGCCTGTACCAGAACTGAGCAGTACCAGGACATACCATGAGAGTGAACGTTTTTGATTGAAACAAACACCGGAAATGCGACAAGAACAAACACAAAGGAGCCATTGCAACAGAGAGAAATGAGAGAGTGGAGTAGATTGTAGTAGACTAGAGTAAAGTAGAGTAGAGTAGGGTGTAGTCTCTCCCTCCGCTGCCCTCTCTCCCTCTCTTTGCACCAGCCTGACCTCACATGTGACTTTTCTCCCCCTCTGGGTTTTTCTGTTGTGGATATTAACCACGTTTCATTTTAAAGCAGGTTTTATTTGTTTGTAGCCTCCAAACACCTTTAGTTTTAGCAAACAACAGCAGAACACGCTTTGTCGCTGCGTGACGTAAGCTGCGTAACTTGATTTTGATTGACGCTGTCAATGACTGGACAAAATTACAAACGTAATTTAAATATATTATATTCTCCTAACACAATTTAACAAGTAGTCCTTTTGAATCAAATCAAATGCTAAATCAATATTTAAGGGCTATTAATTAGATATATATATATATGTTGTTTTTTTTTTTTTGGAAATCATCTTGCAAACCCCCCCCCCCAGGGGTTCCTGCGACCCCCCGGGGGGTCGGGACCCCCACTTTGGGAACCACTGGAATAGAGTGTAGTAGAGTAGAGTGTAGTAGAGTGTAGTAGAGTGTAGTAGAGTAGAATAGAGTGTAGTAGAGTTGAGTGTAGTAGAGTAGAGTGTAGTGGAGTAGAGTAGAACCCGCAGATGCAGATGGAGGAGGCCAGGTTCAGAGGTCTCGACGTCGCGCCATGACACAGACAATGGGACAAAGGGTGAATAGCAATGAACAGACTACAGTCAAAATTCTAATAATGCAAACAGATAAAGTAGGAAGTAGGAGAGGATAGTGCTCAAGTTATCATACTTCTCCCAGCAAACTGACTCCCTATGCAGCTTGACTGACAGTCTGAGATTTATAGCCTTTGCTGAGTCTTACCTTCCTAGCCATATGCTAAACTGCAGAGGACTGTTTTAAACCTAGCCTTGAATGTATACAATAGCTGTTTTACTGTGCCCTCACTGTAGTGACATGTTTGTGTACTCTCTTGTCACATATTGCACTTTATTTTAATTGTTGAAACTGCATACATCCTCCACAGTGTGTGCTTCTACATATTATATAAACAACCATCCATCCATCCATCCATTTTCTACCCTTTAATCCATTTCTGGGTCAGGGGGGTGGCAGTCAGAGATGCCACCCAAGTCTCATAGCACCAGCCCCTCACTGATCCTCTGCAGGTGGTGAGTCCACAGGAGGACGGCTGCTCTCTGAGTGTGAGCATAGCCTTGATCTTTCAGTGGGGGCTTTGGGCAAAGTGGGGTTAAGTGTCTTGCCCAAGGACACAACGACAGCAGTCATCAGTGGGAGTCGGTGGAGAAGGTGCAGAGGTGGGAAATGAACCCACGACCTTCTGGCCTTAAGGCCAACGCTCTACCAACTGAGCTACTGTCGCCCCTATAGCTATAAACAACCATTGAAAAAAAATGTGACAACAAACCGGGCTGGGCCGTTGAGGCAAAAATCCAGGGGGCATTTTTTTTTTGTCCCAGTCCTGCTCTGGTAGGCTGAAATGTTAAAGGCTGGAATAATGCGCTCAAAACAGTACAATTAATTCACATATGTTAAAAAAAATTTAATTGTATTAGCCATAATTTGTATGCGTAGGAAATGAGACTTGGACTTGACTTGGACTTGCAGGTCACGGACTTGTGCATCTCTGGCTGATTCCAAAGTAAAGAAGCTGGAGCTAAATGCTCTGCCGCCGACAGTGCTTTTTGAGACTTTAGGACCCAGCAGACATCTGGCATTATGCAAGCGCAGTGTTCGGTTTGGTTGGTGTGACAGTAATGTTTCTTAAAGGGAAGAAGGAGCCATTTATGGATGTGTATGTTAAAAGGAGAGGGTAGTAGAGTAGAGAAGAGTAGAGTTTCTGTACAGGCAAGCGAGCATACTGTAAACAATGAACAATCACCCAGACTGTGGTACAAAGTGTGCGTTTATTCAATAGTGAATGTACACAAATAAACAGGACCAAAGTAAACAGTCTGTCTGTCTTTCTTAGTCTATTTCTATGTCTCTCTCTTTCTCTCTCTTATCTCTGTCTCTCTTTGTCTGTCTCTCTATTTCTCTGTCTCTCTCTGTCTGTAACCCTGCAGGGCTATAGAATCCTTTTTATCGCAGACAGACACATGTCTTGTCCTCTAACTGCCAATATGCGTCAGGACCAGAGGAGCAGAGTTCATGCCGTACATGTTGCCACATGGATTGAACAGAGGCAGAACGTTCTCAGTGAAGCCACAGTCTGTGAAAGAGTGAAGCAGAGACGCAATATCTGCATCATAAAAGGAGACCAGACCTTCATCACGATCCACAAACACTCCCACATTCTCTGGACGTGACTGCAGAAAGAGAGCTACAGGACGGTCATCTGAAGTTTGATAATCACCATTGTCCATGCGGAGTGTCCAGTATCCCTTCTGTACAGTCTGAGAGCCAACTGATTGTTTTCGATCCACTGATACTTTGGCCACTCCTACTTCCCAGCCTGTCTTTCCTTCGACCTGAACCTCAAAATAAAACCCCCCTGATGAGATTTGTTGCTTCCCTAAAACACAGAAAAAATGTGTGAATCTCTCAGGGTTGTCTGGGAGATTCTGTCTTTGATCAAAGCAATGAACTTGTTTGAGATCTTCACACAGAAATAACCGAGGATGTGCTGTGTCTGGATCAAGAAACACTTTGGCTGCAAACTCTTGTACTTTCTCTAATTCTGCTTCAAAGAATGTCTCTATCTCTGTGTTCAGTTGGTTCCTCAGCTCAGACACAGCTTGGGCCCCTGTCCCCTTGTACGATGGGGTCCTGATAGTATTCTCGCTCCAGTCGCTGAGCCGTGGAGCAGGTCTGACTGTAGTGAAGGTTTGGACAAAGTGCAGGTGGTCTCCGGAGGTCCACAGCTGCTCCATCTCAGCTTCTCTTTGCTCCAGCTCAGAGATTTCTGTCTGGATCTGCTCTATCAGCTGAGACGCCTCCTCCTTGACCTTCTGCTGTTTTTCCGCAATGCTCTGTTTGAAGCTGTCTGCTCTCTGCTGAACACACTCCACCAAAGCCTTGAAGACTATAAGACCTTCTTGTTTTTCTGCCTCTGCCTTTCTCTGACTCTGCTCCACTGAGCGCTGGATCTCCTGGACCTTCACACGTCTGTCTTTGATCTGTAGCTTCAGTGTGGCCTGCTGCTCTTCTCCCTCTTCCTTCAGAGAGACTGTCTGATGGTCTCTGTGCCTTTCAGTTGTGCACTTCAGACAAACCAATAGAGAGTGGTCTCTACAGTAGAGTTCCAGGGGCTGCTGGTGCTCAGGGCAGATGTGCTCCTCCAAGTTGGGCAGAGGGTGGTACAGCTGGTGCCTCTTTAGGAGGGGGTTTGTGAGGTGTGGCTGTAGGTGGCTCTCACAGAATGACAGCAGACAGACCAGACAGGACTTCAGGGCTTTGAGCCTGGGCTCTGGACACAGGTCCCAGAGCACTTCTCCTGGAGCAGTGGCCAGAGGCTCCTTTACCAGGTCTTCCACTTGAGGGTTGTTTCTGAACTGAGAGACCATCTCTGCTAAAATAATATTAACCTTCAACTGTGGTCTTGGTCTGAAGTCCTGTTTGCAGACGGGACAGCAGGAGTGGACACTGTTGTCCCAGTGATTGTTGATGCAGATGCAGCAGAAGCTGTGTCCACAGGGTGCAGTGACTGGATCAGTGTAGACCTCCAAACAGATGCAGCAGAGGAACTGCTCCTCACAGAAAGAGGGGCTCACAGCCGCCATCGCTGCAAGAGACAGAGAAACACATTTGGTACAATGATGGTGAGGGAGGGACTGTGTGTAGCATTTGACCCATCCTTGGATTACCCATGTCACTCTGGGAATGTTGCAGCTCATCCCTCAGCTCCTCCTGTTCAGCCCCTCCCCTCCTGTTTCCTCCCTTCCTGGGAGACACCAACTCAACAGTCAAAAGCCTCAGACCTGCTCTCCAGTGCCAGATCGTTCCATCCGGTGAAGTGGTGCTTACGCTCAGCCTTTATTTTACTAACTTACCAACTCACCCAAATCTGTTACTTACCCGTGTTTTGTTTATTCCTCGTGTTCTCCAGTGTCCTCGGTGTGTCCAGCTCCAGTTCCCCATCATCCTCTACCTGCCAAAGCCCGGTCTACCTCTCTGCATCTGCCTCCCAGGAACCCCCCACTATCTGTTTGAAATAAATTCAGTTACCTGCATCTTTGGGTCTGCCATTCTGTTCATCTTAAAGGAATAGTTCACCGTTTTTACATACTGACAAATGTTCTTACCTTACCTTAGACTAGTTAATACGTACCTGTCTGGTCTTAGTCCGTGCGCTCTGTCATGCAAACGGAGCAAAAACGGGAGCACAACCGCAGCCTCCTCTGTATATTTTGTAGCACCAAAAGGTAGCTCCCGCTAGAAGCTACCAAACTCTTCCAAGTGTTCCCTATTAAATGTATATAGTTACGTGACGTGTTACACTGCAAAGTATAGTAACACAGAAATGTAACAGTCGATTTTCTCAGCGGATAAAACGGGTACTATATTGTGAGGCGTAGTAATCTGAGGGGCGCTACGTCCGCGCACTAACTTCTCTCCGGAGACTTCTCTCTCGCTCACTTCCGTCAATAGAAGCAGCGTGACTTGTAGTACACACAGTAGCAGCGAGAGAGAAGTCTCCGGAGAGAAGTTAGTGCGCGGACGTAGCGCTCCTAACTTCTCTGCGCACTAACTTGTCAAGAAATTGTCATTTTCAGACCTAAACTTTATCAAATGAAAGGTCATTTCGTCCGACCCTGTGGAAAACAAAATGAGTTGCTCCGCACACGTTAAAATGCATGTATATTGGTTATTCGTAATTAAAGATAGCTGTATAATTTTAGGTTAAATGTGGGTAACTAATTGTTATCTGGCAAGTTTGTATACATACATTTATACAAGTTTATTGTACTAAGTGTAAAGTTTAAATTGAATGTTATTTGAATGCTTGGATTAGAAAGGTCCTTGTGTCCTTGGGCAAGACACTTAACCCCACTTTGCCTGAAGCCCCCGCTGAAAGATCTCAGCTCCTGTGGACTCACCACCTGCAGGAGGATCAGTGAGGGGCTGGTGCTAAGTGTACTGGGTGCAGCTCTGACTGCCACCCCCCGACCCAGAAATGGATTAAGGGGAAGAAAATGGTTGGATGGATGGATGGATTAGAAAGGTTATGAAAGTGTTAGCATAGAATGTCCGTAATTCTTCATCAGTCATTAATGCTTCTTTACAAGTAACATAGCAAAACTTATTTACACACATACAGCATTATATATTTCAAAACTTAGACATTAAAAATGTTTTCCGACATTTTGGTGTGTACCGCAAAGAATTATGGGCAATATCCTTCGCCAAAGTCAGCTTAGATGCAGACTACGGCAAAGTGTGGATCAGGGGCGCAAAGGGGCAGGGGCGAAAGACCTCCCGGGAGGATTGGGACACCCTACGCACTCGCACCCATCATCGGGAATGCGCAAATGAGGGACGCGAGGGTGGAAGTGCGAGTATTGGGATAGGGCCCATGTGTCTCCACCTAATCCACGGTCAAATACACCTGCATTACCACTGATCACCACTGGAGGGCGAGCTATCCAAACTACACCCTGACTGCACACACACACACAGACTGTGGCAGGAACAATTATTTACAGCCGATAAACCACCCAGATAAATTAGATTACAGATACACAACAACACACTATTCATTCTTCCTTCCTTACACCTTGAACTTTGGAATCCATTTTTATCTTTTCCCATTGTTACCCACAAAACTGTCATTATAAGCTCTCCGTGATTTGGCGGTACACAAACTAAACTCCAGACAGTGACAAAGGTTTTCATCTCTGCACTGATCAAACTCCACAGAGAGAACATGCAAACTGAGTACAACAGGCTGAAAGCAGTCTTATGTCGCTCTGCATAGAACCATTTCACTTTCAACTGTTTTAACTTGTGTCTGTTTTACTGAATATTTAATACATTTTTTTTCATATGTATCTTGCAGTATTTGTATGTTTTTTTTGTCTGTTTTTATGGATCAGTCCTGTACTTCAAATAATTTCTTAGATTCTCTGATCTGTTGTCGGTGAAACAGCTTTGTAAAGTCCTCTGCAATAAGTTCTGTTGGGATTTAGGGCGATAAAAAATACATCAAGTGGAAATAGTTACAGATCAGAAGGAATGAGGAACACACAAGACAAGTGGGTATTAAAAACAGCTCAACTCTATACTTTCAAATCTCAATCTTTAGCTCAAAGCAGATTAAACAAATGCGCAATACATTTTCAGAGCAAGAATGTATAAGTGACAGTTATGATTGATTTAAAGCAGATCGGTGGTGATTCAACAAGAGAAAAGTATAGACTTTGTCCCCACAACAGTTGGAAAACAAACGTAGATTCCTCTTTCTCCTCTGCACAAACACACTCACCTTCAGACCAGCTTCCAGTGGTGCCACTCTCTCCTCTGTCTCTGCTACCTTTAGCTTTCTTCTTCTGCTGTTGCTTCTGCTTCAAATCCTTTCCTGGTTCATGTCAGGGCAGAGGGCAGTCCCTTTGCAAACATGTGACGTCACCTCCATCTGACTCGTTTATGGATTAATTTATCTACTGATTTATTAGATCGGGACAAGTGACACCAATAAACTTTTATAGCTAAAGACTAGTTTTCAATGTCCCTCAATTGAGTTGAATTGAGTTCCACAGTTTGCTTGTTCGTTCCTTCTGGCAGCTGTATACACCACATATCAGAGCTGGGTCTGACACCTGTGCATGAAGCAGAGACTGTAGGAAATGTCAGCCAACTGGAGTGTGCGTAATGAGGAGGAATCCAAGCGTGTGTGAGGAGGTTCTGAAGGAGGAGCCGGTGAACTGGTGTACAGGCTTTAGGCTGCTGGTATATGACAGGATTTTCCTGCGAAGGAAATATGGAACCAAGACTGAGGGCTGTTGGTTTGATGAAACTGCTTCAAAGAGGAAGGACTAGAATCTCTGGAAAAATGGGCGGGTTACGAGAGAGAGATAGAGATAGAGACAGATAGACAGACACAGACAGACAGGGAGAGAGAGAGAGAGAGAGAGCCCAGAGTAGAGTAGGCCTGGTGGAAACACTGCCAGAATCAAAAATATGATGACTGGAGCAGACCTGGGAATCATGCATTAGTCTCCAGTGTCAGTCTCTCTGACTAGAACCAGGAAGTACCATCACATTAGTCCTGGTCTCAGGTCTCTACACCTGTGGCTCAGAGAACAGACTTTAAAGCAGCTATGTTTGTTTCTCTCCATGTCCTAAAGTCCATCTGTGACATGTTAGAGCCATAGGAAACAACTCTGAGGAGCACAGGGACTGGCTTTCCTCCAGGTCCTAGAGTCAGGACTCAACGTTGATATTGATTCATGCTTCTGTTTTTAATGTGTTGTTGTGTGTTTGGTGCAGGACCAGAGAAGGGTCGCTGTGTGGCCTCAGAGTATTTCACTGAACCAGAGATCGAGATCACCACTGAGAACACGGCCAACATCCTCAGTGAGTCTCAACTGTCGACCCAGGACAAAGGCTGTAGACCCAGGACTGAAGCTGTAGATCCAGGACTAAGGAGGCTGTAGACCCAGGACTGAGGCTGTAGACCCAGGACTGAGGCTGTAGATCCAGGACTGAGGCTGTAGATCCAGGACTGAGGCTGCAGACCCAGGACTGAGGCTGTAGATCCAGGGCTGAGGCTGTAGACCCAGGACTGAGGCTGTAGACCCAGGACTGAGGCTGTAGATCCAGGACTGAGGCTGTAGATCCAGGACTGAGGCTGTAGATCCAGGATTGAGGCTGCAGACCCAGGACTAAGGCTGTAGATCGAGGACTGAGGCTGTAGACCCAGGACTGAGGCTGACTTATGTGTTTTCTGGTACAGAGATGGTCCGCACTGCCACTCCGTTCCCCATGGTGTCGCTGCTCTTCGTCTTCACCGCTTTCATCATCAGTAACATCGGACACATACGACCGCAGCGCACCATCCTGGCCTTCGTCTCTGGAATCTTCTTCATCCTCTCAGGTCTGTACCAACAACACATACACACACACCTGGTCTCTCTCTGATCTTTCTCTCTCTGGTCTTTCCTTGGTATCTCTCGGTTCTCTCGCTGGTCTAGTTCTGGTTTCTCTCTTGTCTCCTCTCTTGTCTCTCTAATCTCTCTCTACTCTCACTGGTCTCTCTCTCTTTCTGATCGTTTTCTCTGTCTCTTTCTAGTCTCTCTCTCTCTGGTCCGTCTCTCTGGTCACTCTCTAGTCTCTCTCTATGGTCTCTCTATAAATTGCACAGTATCTGTTTCCCCTGAAAAACAAAATTAGAAAATGACGACGTAATCACTTCCCTTGTACCATATGTTTTTAAGACGGCACTGCTGAGTTAGGACCATATGCCTGTTTGAGAAAGTGATGTAACATGCACCATTGTCAAGCTGTGTGCAATAGTATTGGCTCAATCTTATCTATTCTAACAAAAACCTTGTCATAAAACACAGCAGTCTCAGAGAGACCAGAGAGAGGCCAGAGAGAGACCGGAGAGAGAGGCTTGAGAGAGACTAGAAAGAGAGACTGGAGAGAGGCCCTATCCTCAGACTTCATCATATTCTTGGCCTTCGTCACATGTTTAGATTTGCTGTAAATTCGTCCACTTTAAGTTGTATTTCCTGGTCAATAATGTCAGGTTTAGTGAGTTTGTGGAGTGTTGTGCGACATC